ATTGTTGGTAAATGTTGCTGCATCCAGTTGGCAGCCGGTCACTAGTGGTGTTCCCTAGGGGTCAGTGCTGGGCTCAGTGCTGGAAGAAATAAGAGGGTTATGTGCTCACCTGGTCTCAAGTGCTTTGATTGCTTCTAGCATCTGTAGATACTCAGCTGCTTTCCAGACATCATTTGCTTCTTCCTCACCTTGGACCATTAGTTTTGCTGTATAGGTGAACTCGATTAGGTGACGAAATGCCATGTTACTGACACCTGTAGAGAGGTAAGAGAAACAGCAGTTTCTTTTAGCGGTTCCTCAGTCTCCTGTATGTGATGAATCTTGCACTCTTGCCTGCACACCATTTTGATCACAGTACTGTAGCTGCCAGTTTCATAAAGCTGACACCCTTAAAAGGCTCCACAGAACCACTGAATGGTTTGTGTTGGGAGGGACCTTAAAGATCGTCTAGTTCCAACCTGACTCATGGTGGAATAAAAAAAGTTGCTACAGAAACATGTAAATCTGGAACAAGTACAGAGTTTTCCCATGTCAAAGATACAAGGATAAGATGGACAAAAAGCTGTTTGAATAATATATAAACACAAAAATTCTCTCTCTCAAGAGACCTCTGACCAGCAAGGTACTGGAGGCTGAAATATCACTCCAGGAATGTGCTCCTTGCCTACCACACCAGCATTGCTCCATGCCTATTGTGCTCTCGCATCCCAGACAAGGCATCTGTCACTGGCCACCACTGGCAGCCTTTTTTCTGCTGGCCAAAATGGCTGTTTTCAGGGAAAAGACTGTATGATGCACTGCTAGTCCTAAAAACATACAGGGTCTGCCCGACCTCCATTAGCCATGCATTAGGGGAAAAACAGAAACTAAAAAAAAAAAGTAACAAAAGGAAGTAAGTGCCCACAGAATCGCACACTTTCCCTTCCAAGATATATAGTTCAAGACTTTTCATTCTGAGTTTTCTTCACAGGGAGGTTTTCCCTCGTGGTGGCAGCTGTCTCAAAACAACTCAGGAGCTAAGATCTAGAAAGCTGACTGATATGACCAAGAATGTATGTAAGCCTGTACCAAGGATGATGCATTAATTTCCAGCTTGGGCACACAGCTCTGAATGTTTTTATTTGAACAGATCAGGTTACCTTCAATCTCCACCAAAGGCTCTTGAGTGAAATCTTGGAAGAATTTGTGGAAGAACTGGCTACAGGCAGCAAGAACAGCCTTATGAGCTTTGAAATGGTGACCTGCAAAGAGAGACAAAAATTTTGGTTTAGGGTAACACCTTCCTCCCTCTATAGTGCAGGCTAAGGGCAGATGCAGATAAGAGACCTCCCAGCCTCCCATTTATTCCAGCAGGATATAGTCACTTATTGCATCACCTTGTAACATGGGATACCACTGCAGCTAGCCTGTCCCCTCTCACAGAGAGCCTTGCTGGCACCTTGCTACAGCTCTGCAACTCAACCAGCTGGAGGATTCATTCACTGCAGATATTTAAGTTATAGGAAATTCCTATGCAAATTTTTTTTCTGCACATCTTGGGCTCAGCTCTAAGGGTTTTGTTGCTCCCACAGACTGATGTATGTTATCACCACTGCCAGCACTGCAGAACAGAAGTGGTTCTGCTCTGTTCTTTGCTTTCCAGATTGTATACTCCCCATCACCATGTTGCCTTCTCCCTGGTGGAGGCATGAACATTCAGCAGGCTCTGTGACACAGAGATAAACGAAGCAACGTGGATTAGAACTACAGAGCTGCACACAAAATCAGCTTTGAGTTCGCTGGATTTAGTAATGCCAGAGCAAGAACATTCACACCAAGTGCTATCAGTGAAACTATGGCAGTTCTGGAGAATTGGTTTTTTTCATTTGCTTATCTCTTTCTAATATGGGTTCTGTAGGATCCCTTTCCTTCAAGTGAGTTCCTGGCATCCTTTTAAAGATCAGGTCATACTTCTCTAGCTAAGTCTGTCCTAGTGGACACTGCCCATCTTCCCTGAAGTGCTCATTCATTCTAAGACATGTTTGGCATATGTAACAACCTTAAGTGATCTATCAGATAGCACCTTTTCTAAGGAGATAATAAGCACTTGTCGGTCCATCATCCTTTTAAAATACTTATGTACTTAGAACATATATTAAAAGTCAGTTCTTCTACCCAATTTTAACTGTCTATTAAAACAGCAGTCAGATACCACAGAAGCAAGAGTTAAATCTTCTTTCAAGTTGTGGCATTTGTGAAAGTTCTGCACATGCAAGAGTCAGCTCAGGTCACAGAAAAATAACAGTGTTTTAGAAATCCTTAAACAGCATGTTAGATACATGAGCTGGTTTGGGCTGAAGTGGAGTTAACTTCCTTCACAGTGACTAGTATGGGGCTACGTTTAGGACTTGCGCAGAACACAAGGTTGATAATAGAGATGTTTTTGTAGCTGCTGAGCAGAGCTTATACAGAACCAAGGTCTTTCCTGCTTTCCGTACTGCCACACTGGCAAGGATGTTGGGGATGCATGGGAGATTGGGAGGAGACACAGCTGGGACAGGTGACCCAAACTGACCAAAGGGATACTCCATACCATATGACATCATGCTGAGTATATAAGGTGGGAGGAAGAAGGAGGAAATCTGGAGTGATGGTGTTTGTCTTCCCAAGGAACCGTTACATGTGCTGGGGCCCTGCTCTCCTGGGGATGGCTGAACACCTCCTGCCCATGGGAAGCAATGAACTAATTCCTTGTTTTGCTTTGCTTGTGTGTGCAGCTTTTGCTTTCTTTACTAAACTGCCTTTATCTCAACCCATGAGTTTTTCTAGCTTTTACCCTTCCAATTCTCTCCCCCATCCCGTTGGTGTGAGCAACTGCGTGGGGCTTGGCTGCTGGCTGGGGTTAAACCACGACAATACAGCACAGCAGTTCCAAAGTGAGCTTCTGTTTGAAATTACTTACCCCTTGTTTGGAAAAGCAGAAGCAAAGTTATTATATGGAGCCTCTGCTCACCCTGAGATTTTAAATGAAACTTTGCAAGTAACTCACACACTGGTACAGAACCCTTAAGGATTTGTTTCTGGCCCAGTCTGACAGCTGATGCATGACAAACCCAATAGCATCCCAGTACAGCTCTCAGAACTCCCTGTGCACCAACCGGCTCTCAGGCCTCTACATACCATCAACAATCAGAGTGATGTCTGTAAACTGGTCCTGCTCACGCTGTTCATTCAGCCTGTCCAAAATGACTTTATAGTGCTCGGGAAATTCCTGAATACATTCCATCGTTTCCTCAGCTTCCATGGCAAAAGCCTGGTCTGCAAAACAACGTGGTATGAGGGTAAGAATGCTGTGCTGCTCAGTAAATACTGTGCACAGTCAGGTTATACACACATGAACCAACTAGCACTTTGCAGGGACTATAAACCCAGTAGAAACACTAAACTGTCTTGGTAACAGGGTTTTACCTGATTTTAGCTGACAGGTAGGAAAAGGCACAGTCAGTGATGCGAAATATCGTCTTGTTCAGACACACAAAAAAACCAGTCCAAGTGGGTAAGTGCATTTCTTCATACCACAGACCCAGCAGGGTCACACCACCCTCAAAGCAGCACTGCTGCCACATCTCCGCAGCTAACTATTCACCACCACAATGTCAGAACCTTGGTGCAGTTACTTCTCACAGTTCCAGCAACCCACTTGGTAGAAGAACAGTTCTTAAAACTTCCATGTTTAAGTCACGTTTTGCACCTCGTGAACACAAGATGTTTAGTTCCTTTGAACACGGGTGCAAGAGAGCAGCAATTTCAACTTCTGAGTGCACTGGAGATTTCATTTGCTGTCAAACCCAAACTTATTCACCCATCCTGACTACACTTGACCCCCTGTAAGGTGAAATGCTCTGTGTCAGCCTTCTGACAGAGTCACATCCGCGGGTAACCGGATGGCCCTTCCTCCCTCACTCATACAATGGACACAGCTGGGGGTGGGAGTTGCAGACGTTCTCACACCTGAAGAGGATTAGCACAGCTCTGTGCCTGCAGATGAGATGCAGATGTTAGTCTGCTGCTTATGCGAAAGAACCTCAGGAGAGCATCCAAATGCTTCCATGAAAATTACCTCCAGGACAAATTACTTCAGATTTGTGCAGCAACACTCATCCACAACTCCCAGGCAACTTGGCTTACACTCAGAGCAGACGTTCTCACACCTGAAGAGGATTAGCACAGCTCTGTGCCTGCAGATGAGATGCAGATGTTAGTCTGCTGCTTATGCGAAAGAACCTCAGGAGAGCATCCAAATGCTTCCATGAAAATTACCTCCAGGACAAATTACTTCAGATTTGTGCAGCAACACTCATCCACAACTCCCAGGCAACTTGGCTTACACTCAGAAAACCACAGAAAGAAAGAGTTGTGGAATTCCTGTCCACAAAACTCTGGCATCTCAGAGAAAATCACTCATGGAGAAGTCGTTTTGCCAAGAGCATGGAAAAAGTGGAGCAGAAGCAAGCACTTGGAGAAATCTATCTCTGCCTGCACTGCCCACCAGATACATCTCTCAGGGTGTTAAAAGCACAGAGGAAAACACCCTGCAGGGGCAGGTGAGGTGGAAAGGAGCAGATGTTGCAGCTGCACCCCCTTCACCGCATCTGCAGTGCTGGGTCTGAGAGAAAACCAGCAGCTCCAGCCTTCCTTCCTCCATCTGGTATTCCACATAAAGGCTCATGTGGGCAGTTGTCAGCCACTTACTACACTGTTTAATTATTCCTGCCCATTTTTGATCCATCATCAAAGGGCAGATGACTTGCAGTTAAAACCGTAATTCCTTAAAAACCCAACATTTTGATCTCCAACTCCCTTCATTTGCACCTACCCAAACGCAATTTACTTCCAAACTGATTGTTTGTAGAGATACCATAAAAAAAACTCCACAAAACAAACCACACCAAAAACCTCAGAGTAACAGAACAATCTCATCCTTGGCCAATGCAAGGTATTTTAACAAGTTTCTTTCTCAGAACTCTTAAAAAACATGAACAAGAAAACACACAACTCGTGTTGGTCCATTAATTTACTCAGAACTAGCAGAAGTGTAAAACTTGCGTTAGCTGATTCGTTGCCATTAATTTACATAGAACTGTGAATTTACTGCGTATCGAAATGGAGCTGCAATATTTATTGGGTATTCTCAGCTGGAAAACTCGGTCATGCTGCAGAAAAAGCCCAACAGAGCCGTATATGCTCCATACGAGCATGACGGAACGGGAGGAGTGGTGAGAGCTGCAGTCGAGAAAACAAAGCAGCCAAGGAAGGCTGATCCAAGCTCCCAGCCCTGAGCGTGCTCACACGCGACGGAGGGAGGCTGCACCACTTCAGTGGTTCACTCAGTTCTTTGGGTCCGACTCTTGCACTGAGCTCGCAGCCCGCAGCGCTGGGTGCCCTGCCGGGGATGTGCGACGCT